ATGCAGTGGGGTGCTGTCTGGGCCATGCAGTGGGGTGCTGTCTGGGCCATGCAGTGGGGTGCTGTCTGGGCCATGCAGTGGGGTGCTGTCTGGGCTTCTGTTGCTGCTGCTGTGATAAAATGCCCTGAGAAAAGTGGCTTCAGGAAGAAAGGGTTTCTTTTGGCTACAGTTCAAGCATAGTCTGCTGTGGTGTGGAAGTAGAGGCAGCAGAAGCTTAAAGCAGCTGATCCTTCTGTATCCAGCATCAGGAACAGCTGGCAATGAATGTCTGAAATCCAGGTCCAACTTTGGAATGGTGCCACCCACAGTGGCCTTCCTATCTCGGTCACAGTCACAATAATGCCCCACAGGCAGCACAGAAGATTGCATTTCAGGTGATTTGTGAGTCTGTGAAGTTGACAATGCCATCATAAACATCATCTTAAAGTCAAGCCAAAACAAAACAATTAATACATATAAAGGCTACATTGTGAGTTTCTTATCATTACTTATTCTTACATATTCTTTCATCCTATAATTTGTAGTGGCTGCTTAATATTTAAATGCAACACTTCACAATCCTTGGTATATTTCAAAAAATTTCATTGTGACCCAATTTTTTGTCTTATTTTAGTTTCTGCTAGATGGAAACTATGCACAAATATTCTCAATTCCTGGGCCCCCTGGCCCTTGTTCCTTGTTTCTAAGTGTTTCTTGCATAGACCAGGCATAATCTGGAGTCACAGTGCCTCTTCAAGTGTGCCCCTCCACCTTGGGAGAGGGCCACACTTGGTACATTAACCACAGGGCCACACAGATGTGGGGTCCACATAACAATGTCTGGTGATCTGACAGTGGAGGCATTGAAGAGTCCCCTCCTTCTGCGGCCTCTGACTGCCACTTCCTGAGGCCTGCATCCTAGCTTGTTGCCAATTTCCTCTTTTCCTCAAGTCTATTCTCCATACCTCCTGTTTTCAAAAATTCCTGCACAGGGACCTTCCATTAACGGCATGTGCGCATTTCATCCTGTGCCACTGCTGTGTTTGTAAAGTTTGTGCTTCAGTCTTCCCAAAGGAGAACATCATCCAGGTGGTGTGGGCCTTATCCTCCTCTTGACCAACATTGCCCCCTCTCTGTTCTCTCTTTGTCACTGCCAAGTTCCTAAAATTGAACCTGGTTGCAGGGCTTTGCAGCCCTTGACCTGCTGTTTTGGTTGCATTTTCTGTCTGTGGATATTTCTAAGGACCGCATCTACAGTATGACTTCCCCAGCAGCGGTATTGCTGACATTTTGGGCCAATCAAATGGTTTTCAGCATCTCTGGCCCTTACTCATGAAAAGCCAGTGCTAGTCTGTACTCTCCCATCTCACACTACAAGGTAGAGGCTGGGCCAGAATGATCCCAGGCATTCTCAAATACCTCCAGGAGACAATTCTCTTCAATGGGAGAATCACCAAGCTATAGCACTGTGCAGCGTTTTCCACATCTAATAAGCCTTCTAGCAAGTGCACCTGCATTGTATGTCATAAGAGAAGCTGTCTTCTTATATAACTCCATATCTATACTGATTTGAGTCCATCTCTGATGGGGAATAGCCCCAAGTTTGTGGAATTTTCCTCTACCTTGGGAAGAGGGTTTAACATACACAGAACAGAATGTGATCTAATAGTTATGAGTTTTTAAGTATCTGCATAGGAAGAAATCCAAAGAGCTAACAGTAGATTAGATTAGATTAAGGATATAAAGATGGTAATCAAAAAATTGTAGACCAGGAATCTACACATTAGAGTAAAGAAAAATGGTCAATCCACTAAGAGTCAGTGTTTAGACTGAACTCTGATTAACATTATTTTGAAAAACAGGACCATATTTATGCAGATATGCTAATTAAAAATTTTTTTTTTTAGTCATTAGAGGATTCTGTCCTTATTATGTTCTTTTCATGGCAAAGGGCAGCTATTAGAATGTGTCTGTATCAGTCTGGGTAACCACATTTCTTTTATTTTCTGTTAAGTGAGCCCAACAGCTTAAATACTTCTCAAGCACTCACAGTGCTTCTTAAGCACTTCACAGTACAGAAGGCCAGAAGGAGTACACCATGAAAGCAGGTAATAGAAGTGCAAACAGAGTTCACACCCCACTTCCTGTGGACCTGGATGGAGACATAACAGATCTGAGATTGTGTAGAATGCTGAAGAGCATCCATGGCAACTTTCAGATGGGGTAATTCAGTGTTCCTAAATGGAAATGTTATCTCTCTTCTTTGAAAGATAAGTTTACTTTTAGTTGTGTGTCTCTGTGTGTGTGCCTATGAGTATGTTCTCTGTGTGTATGTGTGTCTCTGTATGTATGTGTGTATGCATGTTTCTGTGTGTGTGTGTGTGTGTGTGTGTGTGTGTGTGTGTGTGTGTGATTGCATGCGTGAACTTGCTCATTTTTGTGCTTGTGAGTTCAAGTTCTCAGAAGGGGACATTGGATGTTGGACCCCCTGGAACTGGAGTTACAGGTTGTTGTGAGCTGCTTGATGGTGGGAACTGAACTTGGTTTCTCTGTACGAACAGCAGACTTAACTGCCAAGCCCGCTCTTTGCCTCAGGAAATGTTATCTTATACACAAATTAAAGGTCTTTTAAGTCATATTCGACATGATTTGTTCATACTCTTAAAGTAAAATTGTGTTTAAAGTGTGGTTGGATCCAGACAAATGCTTGCAATCTCCCATTCTGTTGCAGGTAGGCAGGGAGATGTACTTCACAACTAGAAACAAGTGCCAATGTGGAGGGTGCTTCCAAGAGGCAAGGATTAGAGTGTTCCGGTGGGCTCCTATTTATAAGTCGTCTCCATAGCTAGTTCCCAGTGATGGAAACGCTCCCACCGAGAGGGAGGCTACAGGCTCACCGAACCCACCTGAGTGTTTAAAGACTCACTAGATGAACAGTTGCTGGGAGAGACTTTGGGGAAGCTGCGTGCAAGCTTTGCAGTGACCTCTAGGGGTGCAGTGTTCACGAGTCACCCACGCCTAGGGTCTCCATAGGCCCACGCCTGGGGTCTAAACCCTTCAGTCAAAAGTGGGGCTGCAGTCTAGTCTCCAAAGCATGTCCTATGCCCTTGTTTAACATCCTCTTCATTTTGCTTGTCACATCAATCCATGCTTCATGAGCAGGTCATGGATGGGTACCTACTAGCTGTCTTTGAAGCAGAAAAATTTATCAGGGTGGAGAGACAAATCTATCTAGTGCTTTAATCTGTGGGATACGTCTTCTACTGTGGAACAAATGCTTTCCTGCATATGACCACATTTTGATTCTAACACCAGCCTTTACAGTCTAACCCAGCTCTGAAAACTGACTAGCCTAGTTCATCACTTCAAAGGTTCCAAGAAGGAGGTTTATGCTGGCACCGTCCACCTTCACAGAGACCCTGAAATGTTCTTCTTCTCTCTTAATTTGCCCGCTACCTCAGATGCTGGTCCCTGCTCACAACTGTAGACCACTCCATTCCCCCACAGACCCATGGCTAATTCCAGCTCTCTTTTTAATTTATTTCTTTTCTGGTGCCAATTTCATTTTTCCTTCACCTGCCTCTCCTCTCTTAGAAAAAGGGGGGTTGCCTCAGAGTCAACATCTTCTCAACCCAGAATCCTGGTGGGAAAAGTCAGCCTGAGCCTCACATCAGAGGGAAAGGATGCAAAATGGGAAGCCTACAATCCTGCAGCTTGTGAGCAGACCTGGGTTTACAGAAGGGTCCTTCTGAAGAATGCGGTCTCATTTCTTTCTAATCAGTTTTCCTGGTGCATGATCATGTCAAAGCTTAACATCAGATTTTATGTTTTCAATCAGCATTATTTTCTTGGAGTCTAAACTGACAGGTCCAAGTAGACTTAGAGGCACTGAAAATGGGCTGGAAGCTTGTTAACTGGGCTGTTAATTCAAAAAGGAAATAAAAACCCCTCAAGTTACAAAGTTAGAGACAGTATAATTTAAAAAGCACCTCAAGGTCCAATCTTTAAAAAGCTGTCTAGGCTAAAAGATGCCTTTCCCACGCCAGGCCCCTAGCCAGCATTCGCCTTCCCTGAGGGGAGCCCCATGTTGCTCAGCATCTCAGCCTTGGCCACCAACCTTAGCTCTTGGTTTGTCTCTACTGAGTGACGGACAGAGAACAGTGGGAGTGTTGTAGGTGCCTCTGCTTGGCACACATGTGGAGTTCCAGTGCACTTCGCCTCATGGGGGCTTTGTGACCCACTTTGTTACCAGAGACCCCGTTCTAGCTCTGTCTCTCCACCCTGTCTGCTTATCCATGCCATTGAAGAGTTTTTATAAAATGTTGATGCCTAGATCCCACTGTTTGTTAATTAAATGAAAATCACAGGCTATGGGGAGGAACTGCTAGTGTAACCTCTGTCTTAGATGACCACCATAATAAAGTAAGCTCCCACGCTACTGTGGGGATTGCGGATGGGCAGTTCAGGGGACTGCAGTAGACATATTTCACTGTTTCAGGAGGTTTCATTAACTATCTGTGGTATTCTATAATAGGCATCGTATTAACCAGTGACATTGGGTTACAAACCATTAAAACTTGATGGTTCATATCAAGGAGCATTTATTTCTTGCTCTTGAGTTTGTGGGTGAAGTGGCTTGGTTGCTCTGAGCTGGACTTAGTGGAGTGGCTTCCCATTAGGCTTCAGATGCATTGTAAACAAGTGATGTGGTTCAGATGCATGGTGTGTCTCAACTTTTCAGTGACAGCCAACCGGTGCCTAAGGCTCAAGTGTCATCTGGCTGATCAAGGGTGAAAGCTAAGTCAGTTCTGTTCACTGTGTCAGGTTCTTTACTGTGTCAGGTTCATTTCTGCACCTTGGAATCTTGTTCAGATGGCCTACTTCAACGTGAATGGGGTAAGGACATACATTGAGGCCAGTGTAAGTTTGGAAAGATGTATGTCTTCTACCCAAACTCCATACCAAGTTGAAGACAAGGGCTTGGTCAAGAGCTATCTACGAAATGACCAGGTTTCAACTATTTTATAAATTTAAAGTTATTCAAAAATTTAGGGGAAAAAAGTACATTTAAACAGCTTAAAATGAAAAACCTGGATTCTATGGAATTAGGGAGACAGTTCTAGAGGCCAGCTGGATTGAGGCTGAGTACGGATCACCATCTGTGAGACATGTGTGCAGAGGACTCATGCCAGTTGCTCATCAGGGGCAAGGGTTGGATCTGAGGCTGTCATATGTAGAGGTGCAGAGGCAGAAGGGGTCAAGAAGAACTGATTAAAAAATCTAAGTTTCCATAATAGGCTGTGACCAGTGAGATAAAATAAAATGAGATACAGTTTTATGGTCATGTAGATTTATTATCTCAACTGTTTGATATACACCAATTAAAAATTACAAGAGATTTTATGTATTTTATCAATTAGAATTTCTGAATAGCAATGGACCTCACACAGCAGGTTTGTGGAGCCAAAAGTTTCTCCAGTCCCACCCAGCCCCGAGGTCCTGCAGCCACTCATAAAATAATTACTCAGAGGCTTATATCAATTACAAACTGTATGGCCAACGGCTTAAGTTTCTTGCTAGCTAGCTCTTTCATCTTAAATTAACCCATTTCTATTAATCTATATGTTGCCATGTGGCCATGGCGTTACTGGTCTGCTGGCATGTTGCTCCCTGGGCAGCAGACTTGCGTCTCCCCTACTCTCCTTTCTCCTGCTATCTCTCTTGGATTTCCCACCTGGCTCCATCCTGCCCTGCCATAGGCCAATGCAGCTTTATTTATCAACCGATCAGAGCAACACATGTTCACAGCGTACAGAAAGACATCACGTAGCAGGTTTGTCTGCTGTGTGCAGCTGGGCCAAAATCTCTAGTTGGCCACAGAGAGCCTGCTGGCTGGGACTGACACTGCTCTTAGTGACACCAGGAGCAGCAGCTAATACTCCTGGAGGTCACCAATACCAAGCACAGCTAAGTGTTCTTCAGGTATTACTTCCTTCTTGAGAAGACTCTCAGAGTTTCCATTTTATGGACTAGGAAATAGAGGTTAACTGTACCAAGGTAGGTCTGTCCTGCTACTCAATGGAGGACTGTTGCTGGACACTGGAACACTGTGGGCATACGGCAGCAAAGGCCCGGGTCATTGGCCACTATGGCACATTTTCAGGGTATCTTGAAAGGAAACTATGTCTACTTTTGGTAGATCTCAGAGACTGCATCTTACCTGCCTGGAACCTAAATACATTCTAAAAGCTGCCAAATATTGAGCTCTTGCTTCCCCACTTGAAAGGACCACCCTTGCCACCCTAGACTCCTTGTGGATGGTCTCTGTTTGTAGTCAGCTCTGTGTTTGCTATTGATTGTGCCAGCTTGCCAGGAGTAGCTGACAGCCAGATGGAAGGCCGGGACTTCGCAATCAATAGCCATTAAAATTGTGCTTATTGTGGTTGTAGGGACTTTGGGGCCAAGGCGACACCTTTAACAATAGAAAGGGGAAAAAAACAAACAAACAAACCAAGAACTGATTTTGGTAACAAAATGTTTCTCTCTTCAGGAAGCAACTAGATGCAGCAGGAGAAACACATTAGTTCATTAGTTCATGTCCCTTTCCTCTTCTGCATTGCCGCTTCATATGTCAGTGGATCCCAGGAAATGTAAGTTCCTTTTAGGGGTGTTCTTTAAGACATGTAGAGTCGTGTGTGTGTGTGTGTGTGTGTGTGTGTGTGTGTGTGTGTGTGTGTACACTTTGTGAACTAAATTTGGTCTCTAATTTAATTCATCCCAGTTAGAAAAGAACTGAGGATTAGAGACTGGACTTGACAGTAAGTTGGAAAAGGCATCTTGCCCTTTAGGGGAAAATGACTGGACAGATGGGGAGCAAGGTCACAAAGAGCCAGTGAGGAAGGCAGAGACTATTTCCTGAAGTAAAGTGGATAAAATGCCTGCGTGGGAGCCAGAGTCAGCACGTGGTGCCCAGCAGAGTCGTTTGAGAAAGCAAGAAATTCCCAAGCAAGCGCAGCCCTGGTGAGAACTCTAAAATGTGAGGAAAAGTTTTAAATGTCACAAGAATGAGGCCACCAAGCCCGAGCAGGAGACCATGCTTACCTGGGCCAAGGCCACCTGGTGTATCAACTCACTGAGGACTCTGATACCATAAAGATAAGGGATCCCAGCAGAACTTTCCTGTTCATTGTGGTTCTTGCCTGAATTGTGCACTGTGAACCACAGCCAAAACAATGGCTGGTGCTACACTTCTGACTGGGGCAATTCTAGCAATCTCCTTCAATCTCCTTCCTGTTCTGTGTTTAAGCTGTAAAAATTCAGCCCCTGCCAGTGATGCTTGGGGAGCACATATTCCTGGCAACTTGAGGTATGATTGGTAACTATAGCATGGCAACATACCCAGAGGAGGAAGTCAGATTGCTCAGGTGATGGTCTGGAAAGTCAAATTCTAACAAGCTGTTGTTCTCAACTCAGAGTGGGGCAAACACTGTCTCAGCAAGTGGGCAGCAGTGTGGAAACGGAAAAGCACTCAAGAACTAGAGCTGGAGATGTGGGCTCTGAGATGCTGCGGGGGTCCATGAAGGAGTGGGGGGTGACATGGTTTTGAGTAAAGGACCTCTCACCCCAAACAGCAGCACATGTCCTGTTTAGTTGAAGCAGGAGGGAGAGAACAGAGCACACTCTGGGCTGGGCTCCTGGAAACACAAATACATCACAGTTCCTGGTCTCAGATCCTTTGGTCCACAGGGTTGCTTGAAGGCAATTTGTGACTTGAATAAAATATATGGAAGGTGAAGGCAGTGTCCTGAAATCAAGATGGGAATGGGCTGTGCAACTGCTAACAACGGTCAAAGACATCATCAGACCAGAGTCACATTACACCAGGAACCTGGGTAGAAGGGGGACCAAAACCTGTCTGGTAATGTTAGGGGGAGGGGAAGGCAGCTTCCTGTGGGTGCTGGGTGGGAGCAGGATTGGAGCATGCAGGAAACAGTTCTCAGGAAGCCACTGCTTTTCCTCAGTAGTGACAGCAGTCCTCGAGATTCGCCTGTGGCCTAGAGATGAGGTATTGCTCCAGTCCAGTGTGGGCTGAACCAATGTGCTGCAGATTGTGTGGAATACAGGAAGTGAAGCGAGGTGCCCGTCAGGTGACTGCAAGCTGAGGAGGACTCTAGAGAGCACAGGGCTGCTCCCAAACACAGAGGACTTGCCACCACTGGCACTGGCTCACCGAGGCACAGCGCCACTGGCAGGCATTGAGGATACCAGATCACTGGGGAGGGACTGGGTTAGTCAGCCTCCAATTTCCCTCATTCAACAGGCATAAGTGACTGTTGACTCAGTGGAGTCTCTATGGTCCCCACATTCATTGCTCTGGTACTTTCTCTAATGCCATACTCAATCTGTCCTGGATGCCCAGGATAAAAAGCCCACTGTGCAGTATTTACCTATTTTTTTCAAGCAAATATTTCCTTGAAGGCCAGTTTCAAGCTGATGGAGTAACACACTGAACCATGAGCTGTGCTGATGATTGGTGCTCCCAAATTCAGACCTGCCAGCTCCAGCACCTTTCAGGGTGCTTTGTTCCTGAACCATTCTATGGCATAGGTAAGTGCGATCATTTAGTGGACTCAGAAAGGCAGCCCATGAGGATGAAGGACTCTGCCCACTGGCCCAGATGAGTAAACAGTTCATGTGCCTTGGGCTCTTTCACCAATGCGTGGAGCACTCCAGATGGTGGCACCTCTTCTCCTGATGTGCTGGCTCTTCAGATTAGCATGTGACTCTCCTGATGGGACAAGTGTGCACAGATGTGTCATCAGATCTGTGGCAGATTCGCTATCCACCACAGTCCAGAATTGACCCTGGCTTCCCTGGTTCTTGGAGCTTCGCTGGGTAAACTATGATGCACTCTGTTGACTCTGCACCTTTCCCTCTCCTCCTGACACGGTGGCCTGAGCTGTCCTCTATCCAGGTCAGCAGCAGGAGCCTCTGCCGATTGAGCACCACCTTCAGCTGCCCCACTCCTCCCACCCTCCCGCCCTCCCACAATGCTCGGGCTTCCAAGATGAGGAACTCCAGGCACAGAGGAGTCAGATAATTCGTTCAAGGTAACAGTTACATCTAGTGAGGGCCAGAGCTAGGGCCTGAGCCCAGGCAGGCTGGCTCTAGAGTTCCTGTAAGCAGTGGGGAATGCTAACTTGAACTGTCTGAGGAACAGTGTCAAATTACAGGCTGTGAATGAAGGGCTCTCTAAGAGGCCCCAGCATGGTTAACATGTTGCTGGAGGGTTTTGCCCTCTCCTCTTCCCTCTCTATTGCTAAACCATTATACTACATTCCTAAAGCTAGCCCCTACGATCCATTCCTTTATCTGGCCACTGACTCATTCCTGAGACTAAACACCAAAGCCCAACAATCAAAGTTCATTATTTGGTTATACTGGCTAACCTGTCCACCCTAGCACAGACTTCTCCCTTTTCCCCTTAAAAAAGACACTCCTGCAGAAAACCCTGCTGCTTGCTGTCTGCCTTTGTCCAATCCAGAGGCAGCTGCCTCCTGTGCAGCTTGTCCCTTGTCCCTCCAGGGTAATGAATCTCCTTTGTGCTGTGAATTTGGTGTCTGGGTATAATCTCTATGACTGTACAACTCCTGGGCCCCCTTACATTAAGGGAGGCTTTCCCAGTCAGATAAAGAAGAAAAAGTAAGTCACAAGAAGAACAGATGAGATCCAGGGGAAATGTTAGCTGTGCTGGGAATTTGTGAGTCAGAGGCCACTGATGCTGGACCCTCAAAGAAACTTCTTCACACTGACTTCTTTCTCACTGGAGTGTATAACTCAGTCTGCCTCATTCACTTCTTTTATTGAAGAGCTAAATAGACTGTTGGCCTTGAGGGTTACAATTTTAATGATTTATATCTTTCCAAGCTTAAACACGTATAATTGATTAACTTGTTCTGTTAATAAAGCATTGATTATCATTAAGATCTCATTAGTCATAGGGCTGTGGAAAATACCAAAGTTGAAAACTCAGCTAACATCAGCATTGGGATTTCACAGGGAACCCCTGCTGGCTAGGACCACTGGACAGTCTAGGCTGTACTGAAGACTCTAGGATTGGTTTGTCTTTAATTGGAACTGTTTGGGAAGGATTAAATGTGTGGCCTTGTTAGGCAAGGGGTGTCACTGAGAGTGGGCTTGGAGGTTTCAAAAGCCCATCCTATTTACTGTTAGCCTTCTGCCTCTTAGTGGTGGAAAAAGATGTAAGCTCTCAGCTACTGCTCCAGTGCCATGTCTACTTGCCTGCTGCCATGCTCCCTGCCATGATGGTCATGGACCCTAACCCTCTGAAACTGTCATTCCCAATAAACTATTTCTCTGTAAGTTGCCTTGGTCTTGGTGTCTTGTCATAGCAACAGAGAAGTAATGATGAGAGTGAGTCCATGGCTGACAGCCTCCAGTGAAATGCACATGTGTGCAAGCAATCATAGGAGAACAAAACTTCACTAGGTGAAATTAACAGAACTTGCACCCAAGCTAAGGACTTTTATTAGTAGGTACTGGGGATGGAAAGCTGAGCTTCACAGAAGCTGAGTAACAGCTCTACTACAGGGCTGCACCGTCACTCATTTTCATAGTGTTTATTTTGAGAAGATTTCACTAAATTGCTTGAGCTGGTCTGGCATTCCTTCTGTAAATTAGACAGGCCTTGAACTTGAGTTTTTTCCTCCTCAGTTACCTCAGTGGCTGGGTTTATCTGTAGGCCAGCTTTTCTGAGAATGATTGAAAGGACCAAGCAGATGCCATAACAGGCTGCTCAGTCTTCTCTCAGAGATCAGTCCTCAATTTCAGTTTCCTGAGACTTGAGCAAGCAGTTTCTGGGAGGGCCATGAACAAAAGACATAGTTCTTGCACTAGCTCCCTTTCTGCACATACTCTGACTGCTCAAAGTACAGCCAGTTGTTTACTGTCTGGGACCCCTCACCAACTTAGAGCTATGTGTGTGAGTCAAGGACAGAGCCTGGACCACTGAGCCAGCCCCCATAGTCAGCACATGCAAGGCTGGCCAGCCCCCATGGCAGCTCAAGGACAAAGCCTTGGTCTTTTCCCAGACAGCCCCCCAAATGATAATTGTAACTCCCAACCAGTAAATTCAAAGGTTACATACCCTCACCCAATTAAAAGGCACCTGTGCCAACCCCCTCCCCCAACCACCCTAAAGGGCTTGTGGTTTTTGCCTTTAAATAGCTAGCCTCACAAAGAAAGAGGAACTCCTCCCTGCCTCACTGTATTGGGTGTGGGAACGAGTTCCCTGCCTAGGCTTGTATCTATAGAATAAACCTTGCTGTTGCATTCTGGACATCCTCGGTCTTCAGTGGTCTCTTTGGGGTTGCAATCTGGGCATAACATGATGAAGTAAAACCAGTGTGTTAATTATAACTAACATTACTGTGTAGCGAGCAAAGACAGCAGTGGCTTGAGCACAGGGCTTCATGGTCATGTTCAATACACTAAGCTGGAGGGAAGTAGACCCAGGCTCCTGCTGTAGAGCTGTGGTCATCAGCACTGCTGGATTCACCATTAGTGGATGCTTCCTTTTCAACCCTGCTTGTAATCATTTCTTTCTTCAACAGGACCTTCATTCATCTCAGTGTCTTCCGCACAGTAACACAGGCAATCCAATATGGCAGATTTTAAATATATATCTTTTGAACTATTTTGAACTTATTTCCCATGCTTTTGAATCATGAAGGAAATGCTTTCTCCCTTTGACCCTTATTCCTGTCTCAGGGAGTTTTCTTTAGTGCCTATATTGTCATTAACAAATAGCACCCTTGCTTGTTCATTTTCAGCTTCTTATTATCACCAGGCTGATGGGGACCTGAGGTACCCTGGCTTGTTATCTGTGACGTTTGGTAACTGTTCACAAATTTGGTGTTTTGTCAATTGTAAGGACCTTTCTCCTCAGTAGGAACTGTGAAGTCTTCAGTATTTGTGACCCACAAGGCTGTGAAAATTGTATTTCACAACTCTGGAGAATCCTGCAAGGATTTTTAAGTACTTTCTTTTTTTTTTCTTTCTTTCTTTCTTTCTTTTTTTTTTTTTTTTTTTTTTTTTTTTTTT